GGCCACATTTGTATTGGACACCATGTGCAGCTCATTGCTTGGACTTGATGTTGGAGGACATTTTCAAAATTCCCAACTTCAACAAGACATTTGAAAAGGCAATTGCGGTGCATGGTTATATTGTGAACCGCTCTGGTTTGTTGAATATGATGAGGCAATTTACCTAGTGCAAGGATTTGATCAAGCCAGCAAAAACTCGATTTGCAACCGCTTTTCTAACTTTATCAAGGATTCATCAACAACAAACCAACTTGAAGATGTTCACTTCAGAGGAATGAATCACAAGCAAATGGGCGAAGGAACCACAGGGTAAAAAGACTGCACAAGTCATATTAATGCCTTCTTTTTGGAACAATGTTCTTTATGCTCTCAAAATATCAAGTCCTCTCGTTCGTGTACTGCGATTGGTTGATGGTGAGAGAAAGCCTCCCATGGGATATATTTATGAGGCAATGGATAGGGCTAAAGAAGCCATCGCAAAATCATTTAATGGAAATGAAGAGAAGTACAAAGAGTTTTTTGAAATAATTGACAATAGATGGAATGTTCAATTGCATAGGCCTTTGCATGCAGCTGGGTATTATTTAAACCCAGAGTATTTTTACGCAAATCCGAATATTGGGAAAGATAAGGAAGTCATGTCAGGCCTGTATAAATGCATACAAAGGTTGGTCCCAAGCAACGAGACACAAGATAAAGTTTGCGCAGAGTTGACTACCTATAAGAAAGCTGATGGTCTCTTTGGGATGGCTTTGGCCATTAGACAAAGAACTACAAGGGCACCAGGTGATCTATATTTTATACTTAAGTAATTTTAGTTAGTTTTTTATATTTTAAATATTCTTTCTAATTAGTTAGTTATAATCAACAGCTGATTGGTGGAGTGCATATGGTTCTGAAACGCCAAATTTGCAAACATTCGTCATCAAAATTCGTAGTCTAACTTGTAGCTCATCTGGATGTGAGCGGAATCGGATTGTGTTTGAACATGTGAGTACCCATTTTTAACTATAGTGAATATGAATACCTATAAATTTATTAATACCTAGATAAAAATTTGAATATTTTTATTTGGTTTGAATTTTTGCAGATTCACACCAAAAAGAGAAATAGGTTAGCTCAAAAACGTCTGAATGATTTGGTATTTGTTAAGTATAATAGAGCATTGAGACGTCGATACAATCCCCGTGACACTATTGATCCCATTGCTTTGACGGATATTGATGAAAGTAACGAGTGGTTGGTTGGGAGGATGGAGGAGGAACTTGTCTTTGAGGATGATACTTTGACATGGGATGATGTTGCTAGAGCTGCTGGAGTTGAGGAAAGTAGTCAAAGAACTAGATCAACAAGGGCGATAGAAAGGGGTTGTTCAACTTCAAAATCAGCAGCTAGACCTAGATTGCAACTTATTGATGAGGAAGAGTCAATTTCAGATGGGGGAGAGGAAGAAGATGCAGAGGGATATGCTGAAGCCAATGATAATGAAGAAGAAGTTCATTTGCTTGATGTTGAAGATGATTTTTAGAACTTTGGATTGGTGGATTGTATTTGTCTTTGTTGGATATTTTCTTTTGTTTATGGTTATTTAGTATTTGGAATGATAACTGCATGATGGTTCTTGAAAATATTTATATTTTTGTCTATACCATTTATTTTTAAAAAATATCATTTTTGGTTGCCTCACTTCGATGAAGCCCTCACCTCGCCTCGTCGCCTCGCGCTTAGGCGTTAGATGACCTTGTCGCCTCGGTTCGCTTTTCGCCTTAAAAAACACTGCACCACACCATCTATGACTCCAAAATCTAGCATGTTCCCCCACTTCTCACTACAAATTGAATATTACTGGAAAAAGAGTTCCATGGTCCTACCAACTTCTGATGCCTTTCCACAAACCAATCCCAAAAATCAAATGTCCAAAGAGTATGTGATGCATTCAATGTACTTTCCGAAAACATTATTCTTTCTCTACGTGGACAATGTTTTTTTGGCTATGAGGAGTATTTTCATTACATTGCACAAACCAGATAGTAAATGGTTGTTAACATTGTTGTGTAGTATGCAAATACATGATCTATTAGTTCAAATTCAGCTTATAAGAGTGTTAAAAGGTTAAAAACATTGCAGTACTTTGATCCAACTAAATTATTCCGTAACAATTTGTTTGCAGGTATCGTATGTTGAGTCGTCCATATGCCTTCAACTGTATACTGCGGTTGAGGGCATCCTCTGAATTCAAAACTGGCCATTCTGTAAGCTATCATATCATCTTGTTTGAAACTTGTAGTCTTGTCTTGGATTGCTTATAGTACTTCCACCATTTTCTACAGTATGGTCACTTCTTCCCGGATCCTCAGTATGAAAATGTTCAACACATCATTTGTTGCGACTCCTATGCTACATATGCTTACGACTTTGATTTTGTCAGTGATGTTGGATTTTCCAGGTAAATATGCATTTCTTTTGGCCATCATACTGCATTTCATTTTTCTAGTGTAGCATATAATTGATAATTGATTGCTATTGTCTAATCAATTTGATGAATTTGGGTGTGCTTGTAGAATCTTGGAAACATAACAAAAATGTCTATTTTATTTCTTGCTTTTTTTTCCACTAGTTTTTGCTATAACTATTTGCCACTCAATTAAAATGGGGGCATTTGCTTACCAGCTGTGAGGCCTTTTCACATAGGGGTGAAACTGAGCAGAGCTGCCATACTTTACCCTGCTCAAACTTGTCTTGGTTGATCTTTGGTCTTGATTGAGCTCGAATACATAGTTGCACTTTATGGTATTTTTTTTTGTTGATAAATAAAGATTTATTAAGAAAGCATCAAGGAGATGCCAAAAGAATACAAAACCAACCCTTCAAGCCGGGACCTAACCAACTAAATCATCAACAAAATCTAAAACAACAAATAAATTGGGATCTACTCTTCCCGACACCTAACTATACAAAACACCGCAAAACTGAGACTCTAATTGAACAATTGACTAAGCACACCCTTGGAAAACCCGACGATTCCGCTCCAACCAAAGCAACCACATCAAACACAAAGGAGCTAACGCCCATGCTCTCCGCCGTCGTTTCCCAATTCGACCACCCCCCCAACAACGAAGCACATCCATAACCTGCTTTGGTTGAGCCCACACCACTCCAAACGCAGAAAAAACAAGCACCCACAAGTGAGCGGCGGGCGGCAACCTTGCCTTGACCGCCCGCCGGACCTCAATCTATTCCGCTTATTTTCTACACAACACATACCTTCACTTTGAAACCAGAGAACATTTTGCTTTCAAGCCCTCACAGTGATGTAGTGCTAAAGATTGCTGATTTTGGTCTCTCAAGAATTTTACATCCTAATGATCACGCAAAGACAGTTTGCAGGTCTCCACTGTATATGGCCCCAGAAATTCTGCAATTTCAGCAATATGATGCCAAGGTTGACATGTGGAGTGCTGAATGTCCAGTCGTGTTCATGTCTTCCATTTTCCGAGCTCATCCCTTACGGTAATGCCAGGATGAGAGAGAAAGCTACAACACCCATCTCTTCTTTCTTTCAGATTCCTTTTTTCTCACAAGCATATGTCTCACAGACCCATCGTTCCTCACTCTTCTTCAATACCCTTCACTCTCCACACTCACTCCTCCATCACCAACCCCAATATAGAGAAGCCTTCTCTCTCTCATCTCACCGCCCACTTTCTGAATATAATATAACCCACTATGTTTGTCCTCCACAATGGTTCTCCACCCACATGGCTTCTCTCTCTCATCTTTTCACTTTCCAACCCACTTTGCATCCACCACCACTTTCCCCACTTTCTATATTTTATATATATATATATATATATCTCTTTTTTATTATATATTAAAAAAAAAAAAAAAAAAAAAATCATCTCTCCTCCGTTTGATTTCAAACTCCATTATTTTTATTTATTTTCTCCAAACCACTTTCCTTATTTCCCCATCTTTCATTTTTGATTTCAAATATATTTTTATTATTTCTTTCATTTGTGGGTTCGTGTCATGTTCGTGTTGTGTCCCGTGTCCATGCGTCATTTTATATATACTATTATAGATGTTTGAGATGAATACTTGATTGACTGTGTTGTCTCCAAATGAATACCAAACTTGGTTGTATCCGTGTATGAGAATGAACATTTTAAGTAGTCATTTCTTGATGAAGAACTTAAGAGAAGATTTATAACATCACAACACTTGGTAAGTTGATAAGTCCAAACTAATTATAAGAACATTGGCCCGGTCAACCAGGATAGTCACTGATCATCCAGGACTATCAACTATGTTGGTCAACCAACTCCAGAGACAGTCAACTAGAATTGAGAAAGTACTCAGTTATTGCAAACCTAATCAACAACAATCACTTAAATTGCAAATAGTCCCATAGAGCTTGGGACTATTTCTATGACACTTTCACATATGACTAACCATTTATCACAACTTTTCCATTTCAATTATTATAGCAGAACAGCACATAACATCAATGTACAAGATCAGCCTTAAAAAATAATAATTACTTCCTCAATCTTGCTATCTCACTAACTATTCTTAAAAGGATTAAGATTCATCAATGATCTACTGAAAAATTTGATATTCTCTAACCATTTTCCTCATCCACAAGTACAGTAAAGAAAATGTCCATGTTATGCAATATTGTAGAAAAGCATACCTACCTATTGTACCAGGCTTGAACTTAAAGAAATCACAATGAACTTCTTCACCAACATCTTCACCATCAAGTTTCTTCTTCCTTTCCTCGTCATGATCTGCTAATATCATAAGGTCATCGACCCCACATGTGAACCCATGAATCTGAAACATATATGTCAAATAAAGCAGTACAAAGATCTGACATTAGAGTCTAGACAAATATGTCATATAAGAAAAAACTGCAAAAAAAAAAAAATCAAAGAAAAATGCAACTTAACCTGTAAAAACACAGTAAACAAGCGACTGAGAGCAGAAAGCAGAATGCCTGCTGTGTTTGAGCCATAGAGCTCCTGCACAGTATGAACCAACCCATACTTGCCAAACTGAGCCTTGTCAATCACACCATGCACGAGTTCATTCTTCCAAATTAACAACATATGTTCACCATTTTCTTCCTTTTTGCTACCTTTGCTAGGATGCTTCTGATTAGCCTGACTGCCAAAATAAGACGACGGAATCTTCCCATCTTTTTCAACAGTAAATGGTGTGTAATCTCTAGTCAAATGATTTAGAAGAGCAGTAATGACCTAAAAGACAAAAGAAAAATAAGATAATGAAACCACAAATCCATCTAACAATAAACAATGCCTTCACCAGTTTCAGAATTATTTACCCCAGGATTAGGTTGATGGTGGGATAAGGGCTTACACAAGATCCTATGGCTGAAAATCATGGGGACTACCTTATCCTAACCTTCGACCATGACCAACCAAACACTAGATAGGGCTGGATACACATTAAAAAATAGTTTGGGGATTGGATATTTGAGGACCGATTCTCCAGGCCTCATCATTAACTATGTTTCATACACAGCCAAAAGTTCTTCAACTCCGGGACATTCAAGTACAGAAAACCTTCCTAAAGCAATGGGAAAAGCCATTTTATTCTCAGCTTGATGCACTTTGCGAAATGGGTATAAACAGACCATAGTAAGCTTCCTTGAAATGATTACCTGTTTCCCAGTCCAAAGTGGCTTTGGTTTCCATATTGCAGGCAAAACAGGCTGCATCAGAGCTTCAGAATCTACTGTAGAAATTTTCTGGCAGGGTTTGGCAAAAGATGAACCACACCCAGCAGCAAACACACCAGAACCATAGAGGAGCTGATTGAACTGATCATGCGTTAGAAATGTATCCTTCATTGTGAGAATCACAGCACTTACAATATGATCCTGAAAATTTAAATAACGAATCAACAAATCATTAATACATACTCTAAAAAAATATAGAAAACTGGCAAACAAACAAAATAACAGTTAAAAAAATAAGAACTAAATGAAATATTGTCACCTGGATCAAACCTCTGACAGTATCACCCCTTGTTGGAACAATATATTGATGATTAGCATTCACAATATTATAAGCTTCAGCACGGGAAATTTCGTCTTGAGGTAGATGAACATTTATTTCATCACCATCAAAATCAGCATTATAGGTACTACAACCAGAACCATGAACAAAAAACACTAAGCATATAAAAAAGGCAAGATTTTTTTCTTTTTTTTCTTTTTTTGGATAAATGACAAAGCAAGATTTTTTTTGGACACGAGATCTAAAAAGGTGAATGCTGAAAATTATGCACATAACACCAACCTGCAATTGGCATAATGCATACGAAGAGTTTTCTCCCCTTTTAATACGCGAACTACATGTGCCATAATACTTGGCTTGTGAAGCGTAGGCTGCCATCGAAAATTTTAAGCAAGTTCAGAATGACATCCAATAAACATTGATAGATCACACTATAAATTAAGATACAATAACATGAAATCTAACGTTCATAAGATGAACAGCAAAAGTAATAGGAAGCAGCCAAACCAATGTTACAAGAAAACGTTGGAACGCATGTTCCATGACATGGTGTACACTTTCATTCCAAAACAGTGAATTTAGCGATCCAAAGTGTTTCCATAAATTTTTCTAATTTTTTTATTAAAATATCTTCCTAATATAGGAAAAGTCAAATATGATGAACTAAAATCCAGATTGAGTGGAGCTTTAGATTGACAAAATGTAGAATAATGGGTCATAATACTCATAAAATTATGTTGCTGAACGATTAATTTGAAGAAAAATATACTATAATATATTTGATGTCAAATCAAGAAGTCTACTACCCCTATCGTACCCACATTTTAGAGGATGTGGCATACCGCGTTCCCGTTCTTTGTACCAAAATGACCTAAGTTCTAAGTAACATACAGCCAAACAGTTTCAATAGAACACTTGTGGTTATTGATCAACAAGTTAAACAGCAAGGCCTGAAAACTATGAAGCACGGGTACGGGTACGGGTACGAGTACTGGTACTAGTATGATACAGGTACGTGAATACGGTAAAATCCATAAAAAGTAGGGTACAAGTACGTCTTGGTACGCTTGTAAAAAAATATTTATTTTTAATTTAGAGTAATGCAAAAATTAATTAAATGGTTTAATTTGTTAAGATCTAACCTATAACTAACATTTAATACCAAAAGTAAAGGTATAAATTGTTAAAATTCACCTACTACACACCTACCACTACCACCTACTACACACTCACCTACTTCACCTACTCTCCACCTACTCCTCACCTACTACACACTCACCCTCTTCTATATATAGGAATCATGAATCCTTGTAATAAATATCAATAAACATTATATCAATCAATAATACAATTCTCTATTTCTCTTTATACATTAAATTTCTACAAAAATTCAGAGCAAGGTTGAGAAGCTAGTAATTCTGCTTCCCCGGCGGGCGGCAGCCTCGCCTTGGCCGCCCGCCGGACCTCTACACATACCTTGAATTTTTTCACTAACAAGGCCCGCCATGTTGCTATACAATCATCACCTTAAGATCAGCTGTGATTCATGATCCGACGGTCCAATTTTGTTACTGCTTTTCAACTTCAATAGACCGTACAACTTCCGTATCTCTTTCACTGGAACCAAACTCTCTTTGCATCCACTGGACTCGCCGGAGTCATCCGCCGACGGTCTCGACGACGAGCTCTCCCAAGATCTCCGGCCATATTTTCCGGCCACTCTCGAATCGCCGTTGGTCTGCAGCGCCGCCGTCATCACAGATTTCAACGCCCTGCTCTGAACCGCACACTCGCAGTTCCGTTACCGAACTCCTTCACAAGAAAGGAGTTGTTCCTCTTCACGATCTCCCATATCACAGGCTCTGGAACAGTCGCCATTTCCCTTAGATTCGCACTCTCTCTTTCTAGCAAATATCGACAAACTATTCGGATAGATCAAAAGATAACGAGATCTGGGCATGATCTACAAGACCCAGATGGCATTCTTGATCATGTGTCACCTACAAGAAGAATCAGAAGTAGAAATCGAAAACAAAGGGTTTCTGGCTTCCTCTTAACCTCTCCATGGAAGGATTCGAATTTGATGCACCACCGCCGTACACGGCGGCCGACGAGACCGATGACTTCTGCAACTCAATCATCACTCGATTCAGCTCCTCCACGGAGGACCACCACCACCTCCTCTGCGCCATCATCGACGCAATGTCTCAGGAGCTCAAAGACCAAACGCTCCCTCTCACTCCCGTCGCTTACTTCGGCGCCACTTGCTCCTCCCTCGACCGCCTCTCTGCCGAGGCTGAGCCGCCCAGTCACGTCGTCGAAGCCCTCCTCACTATTCTCTCCACCGTTATTACCCATATCTCTGCCGCCATCGGAAACAACTGCACGGAAAACGTCGCCGCCATGTACTGGGTCCGGCCGGCGTCGATCTTGCCGGCGGGTATGAACATGAAGCCGATTTGGCTGCCGGAGTACAGTAACTATAGTGTGCTGTCGAACACAGCTCTGTTGGGGTTCTTGACGGAGACGTATTGGGAAAACAAGTGTGAGTGGATCTGAAACTCACTCTCCATTACATTAATCAACCCTTCTCACAGCTCATATTTTATTAATCTATTAACATATTCTCCATCCACAACCATCATCACATTTTCCACCGTCCAAACATTCTTTATCTTATATATATATATATATATTTTTTTTTCTTCTTTCCACCGCCCAACTTTTTATCTTTTATTTAAAAACTTAAAAAAATAATAAATAAATAAATAAATAAATAAAATAAATAAATAAATACAAAATAAAATAGAAAAATAAGAGATATATATAATTCGACTATGATGGCCTAACGTCCATGGGAATAATAATATATTACTCATAAATACAATTATATTGTATTTATAGATTTTAAAAATAGATTTAGAATTGATTAGAAATCTACTATCTCTTAAACATAATTCATATCTATTAATCTCTAGAAATAAGAGTAATATTGTAGATCTTATCTTTAACATCTTCCTTCAAGATGAGTCTAAATCCTCTGTGAAATTTTCCTACACAGGATCCTATAGTGCAATGAAAAACGATGTCGTTTTACTTTTCTTTCCCCCTTTTTTTAGCTTCTTCTCAGCTAAGCTTCTTCCTTCAAGATGAGCATGGATCATAGATAAATGCTCTTCTTCTTCTTCTTATATTTATTTTTTTACTCTCTCTCTTTTGTTTTTTTTGTTTTTTTGTCATTTAAAGAGAGAAGACGTGAAGTTTATGTGGTTTGGCCATGATGGCCAGATAATATTCAAATGAATAAACATGAATACAATAAACTTTTGCTCCACCGACCGCATCGGAAAGTTCAACGGAGCAAAACCAGAGGCACTTGGTTGAGATTCACTGGCCACCGCACCAGTTATCTCTCTTGTTGACTCGTTGAGGTCGGGAAAGAGAGTGAGCAGACCACGGGACGAAGAGGCCATATTCTGGGTAGCTGAACGGGAAGACGAGGCCATGTTATGGGTTGCTGAGTGTTTCAGAGAAAGGTTGGTTACAGAGTGTTTACAGAGTGTTTCAAGATTTGCAGCTCTTAGCGACAAGCTCTCAGAGAACGAAGAGGTTTCAACTGGTTTGTTATGCTTCCAAGCCTCAGCCTCCGCTTCGGTTTATAAAGACCATGATGAAGAGGCAGACACGCGCATCATGCGCCTCTCGGTGCTCGCCGACAACTTGGGCGCGTCTTTTGATGGCACGCCTTTTTATGGATTGGGCACGCCTTTTGATGGCACGCCTTTTTTGAAAGATTGGACACACCTTTTGAGGGTGCGACTTTTTAGGGGTCCGACAAGACTCTGTAAACTGTCCCGACATTGATTCCGGTTAGCTCCTTCATGGGTCCGACAAGACTCTGTAAGTTGTCCCGACATTGATTCCGGTTAGCTCCTTCATGGGTCCGACAAGACTCTGTAAACTGTCCCGACATTGATTTCGGTTAGCTCCTTCATGGGTCCGACAAGACTCTGTAAACTGTTCACTACACCTACTCCACCCACTACACCTACTCCACCCACTTCACCTACTCCACCTACTACCACCTACTACACACCTACCACTACCACCTACTACCACCTACTCCACTACATCTCCTATATAAGGAGCCCCTCACCATTTGTAAAATATAAGATTCAACAATCAATATACAATTCTCTATTTCTTTTTATACATTGAATTCTAACAAGCTTAAATTCAAGCGTAATGGTGAAGGATGAAGAGATTAAGAACAAATCAAAAGGTTATTTTGAGAAACTGTTGAAGGACTAACAATTACAAAGCTTAAGAGGAGAGGAAAATGGTAGTCTTGATGGAACTAGAGAATACATTTTATAATAAAATAATAAAGTGTGAGGTGAAAATTGTACTGAAATCAAGTAAGACTTTAAGATCAGATGGTATCTCTATTGAGGCTTAGAAATGTTAGGTGAGAAGGGTTTGTTAAAGAAAAAATTTAATAAGATTGTAATGACTAGGAAAATGCTGAGCGAGTGGGGAAAAAAAAAAGTAGTTTAATACTTATATTATATCTAAAATAGAGGAGAAATCCAAAATTATAACCATAGAGGTATTAAGTTGATGAGTCATTGATGGGGAAGGAAAAGCAGTTGGTTGAAGAATAATTGATTGGAAAGTTTAGTTTATTTCAGAATTTTCATTTATTTAGGAGTTTTGATTTCATCAGGATTTTTGTTTCCTCTTTTTTTTTTTTTTTTTAAATATTGAGTTTTGTTGAGAAAATTATATCATTTTTTTTTTTTTTTGGTTTCCTTATTAGATAATGGTTATAAGCCTATATGTGTAGGTAGATGTGTATTGAACAATGATGTTGATTTGGCGTAGTTGAATAGTGATTGGCTGATCCTTACCCAACTCGACCCGGCCCTTACCCAAGGGCAGTCCATGGACTTTTTCTTTTAAATATATATATGCTTTTTTTTTGTAAAATCATTTAAGTAAAAACATTCAATAAAAATCTTTATGTAAAATCATTTCAGTGAAACATCCCCTCTCCCTCCCCATGACCTCTCCCACCGACCCCCTACAACTCACCCCACATTACAACTCACCCCACATTGGGAAAAACCAAATAGTTTAGTGACCAAATAGGGAAAATGTCAGCTTTAAGTACCAAAGTGACAAAAAGGTCATACTTTAAGGGGGGGGCAAGTGTAATTTACCCCTTTTTCACAAGAACTTGAATTTTTGTGTCAGTATGCTACTGAGCGCAATAAAATGTACTGCTGATAAATAATTTAGTTTGATAATCACATGATAATATATGCTCATTACTTGTCTCTTTCAGTTTCATCATTGAAAAGAATGGTCTTTGTTTT